CGACTATATTAAAGAATATTTTTTGACGATCGAAAGGTTTGTGATGTTCATCATTCTTGGAAGGGAAGGGTGGTATTGGATTATGTCAAAGTTCTCAAATGAAGTGCCATTTCTTTCTGTTAATCATATATGATTGCCTTTCAAAACATATTCATTGTTTCACTATTTGTTGTATATAACATTATTTCTAGGGAACGGGTCACTAATTCTGGTTGTTTTTAGCTCCAACTTGCTCGGAACAGAAATTTGTGGAGAAATAACGAGATAAAATCTTGTGATTATGACTGAATTTCCACTGAAAGTTTGTAATGCTGAATTCTTTCCGGCCGTGTGTCAGACTAAAGGAACAGACAGATGATGGCTCTGGAATAAAACAGGAGTGAAGAGAGACTGAATATCAGTTTAATCTCTGAGGGAAGTCCATTATGAATGTTTGGACGAGTTTGCGTCTGATTTAACTCAAATGTCACGCTGACTGTTGCTGTTGAGTGATAAGACGCTTGACACTTGAATTAAACAGCATTTGAGCTGTTAAGAATCCTTTAAATGTCAAATTCTCACTTTCGTGTCATTAAAAAACACAAGAAGCTGTTGTGTCAGACGTGACGAGAGTCGCACCATCGTCTCCCAAGAGGCAACAGAAACTGGAGCAGAGGAGCAGCTCGGTGAGGAAAGGTTACCGACCAAAACACTTCGTCCTTCACGCGTATGAAGAGTTTTCTGCTAAAACGTTTAAACTGTAACTCGGTCATTGGGATGAACTTACATTAAAAGCCACAACACTGCTGGGACACGCTCACAGTGAATCTGTGATTTTTGATTTGGGGGATTTACAGGTTAAAGGATTTCATTTTCCACCAAAGGCTCAGTAAACCCTCTCTTATAGCCCTTTCTATGAAACAAGACTGCTTATCTTAACCTCAGCTGACATTTTCCACAACTGCCAAAAAATTAATAGAAGATACCACATTGTTTGGTGTTTTATGTCAGTGGTTCAGAACCTTTTCCCTTAAGGGACCCACTTTCTGTTATTGTGTAAACTGACTATGTGACTTATTTTATGTATATTTCACATTATATTCAATAATAACAACAACAGCAGAGAACAGCTGATAAACTGAACAATGAACCCAAACAGTGAACTCAAGAACTGCAGGAAGTTTGTGTGAAATCAGAGATATGGATGAATTTTGATTATTTTCAGATATTTTTAGGAACCTTTTATATGATGATGTCTGTATTACTGTATTCTTATAATTTCTAACAACCATACAAACTTAATATAATCTTCTCATTGTTCCATTAGCTCTTGAGCTCTTCAACTATGTTTTAAGTCGAAGAAGAAATTGGCCAAATTCTCTGATTTCAGCTACTCAAATGTGAATATTGGTGCGGGTCGGGGAACGAGAGCAGCGAGGCCTCATACATGAGACTTCTACAAAGAGAGCGAGGAACTCTAAACTTCCCGAGAAGTCGACTTTAAGGACATAAAACCCATTTTAATTGTTCATTATTAAGCCTGACACTCAGCAGAATAAACTTCATTTCCTGGATCAGCAGCATTACAATAAGTAATGTAAAGGTCACAGACAGACGGCGCACAGACAGCGCTCATGTCATCCAAGAACCATCATAATTTGCATTTGCAGAAGTCATTCTGCACAATGTCAACTCTCATCTAATATAAAACTACCCTGTAATGGCACACTGCAGCATAATGGCCAATTTGTGTCCATTCAGAGCCAAACTAAACCCACGGGGGCCTCCCTCGCAGTGCATTAAATAACCAATTTGCAGCGAAAACGTCATTACGGGAATAGTTCCCCACCAAACGATGTCATTACAGTAACGACAGCCACTCTAGCGTAGCGCGGCAGATAGATTCGGGCAAGCGCTGGCTAAAACATCAGTCACTCATTGTGTTCTGAGTCCTTCATGCCCGACTGCCCGACACCATGAAGTTAATGCCTTAGACGCCATTACGGAGGAATCGCCTGCTGTCAGTCCTACTGTATAATCGCACCAGCAACCATTCACTCCTGGTTTGATCGCTGCCTAGTTAACAATGAAAGCGAGAAGAATGCTGCATAACGTGGCTAATGTTACCAAGCGTGTGGCAGCTGCCGTTTTTTTTATCATTTTTTATTGTGTTATGGTGCTATTAACTCCATGGGTAATCCCTGCAGGCGTCAATAAAACCTAAAACTTAAATGACACGGTTAATCACGACACAATTAGTGCGAGTTGAGAGATGAATCTGTGGAAGTATGTAAATGAATCCGCGAGCGTCGTTCGAGTCTCCCGCTGCTTTACATCTGCCGTGCCTGTAATCGTGTCAGTCAGTCGAGGCTAATCACCGCACAGCGAGGTGTACTTCTGCCGGCAAAGTGATATTTATGGAGGGAGAATTCAGGCAGGAAGTCATTGTTTTATAACCTGCTATGTAAGAGGCTGTAGGCTCTCCCTTTCCTCTCACATCCTGCTGCTGTTTCAGTGATTAAGGAGGCGAATTAGAGGCTGAGGTGAAGCTACAGCAGCTACATATAAACACACCTGATCTCAGTTTGTGTGGAAACATTGTTAAGGTTAATATTTCTGTCCTCTGGCTGCTTTTAAGTGTGGAAATGTGCTAATTCTGAAGCAAGCTGAATAACACAGCGAGACAATGTGCATAATAAACGCTGAAGGTGCAATCAGTGATGTTTTACTGGTTCTTTGCAGGTGTTTGATTAAGAAAGTACTACATTTAAATTGAAAGTTTAGCTTTTAAATTCATGTTAAAAGTGTGTTTCTTGCTATAAATACCAGTGCAAGCATTTAAATGCCAGTAAAAAGGGAGAAAGTGCCAGAGTATAAACAATTTTAGGAACTCATTATGACCATTATGATTTATGGGGGTGCTGCAGCCCCCTCAGTACACATACTTCCAGCAGCCCTGCTTAAGGGCGGATTGCATGTGGTGACATTTAACTCATTTAGATTAATTTTAAAGATAACATGTTTAAAAAAATCATTATCTGTTCTGGACACATTTAAGACTCAGTTTTAGACTAAGGCTTAAGTTTGATTTAAAAAAAGGAACATATTTGGAATCCAAATATGGTCATTTAGGAGTTTCTCCAAGCAAATATTGATATATGTGATTGTTTGTGATTAAATCAGAATATATTACTGACACCCCATGAATATTTCTCGAGATCATCTTACATCATCTGAGTCACATGGTCTGACATTTGGTTTTCCTTCCACCCAAAACGCAGCAGATTTTTACAACTGAAACAGATTCAGCAGGCAGTTGTGTTCACTAAACTGCAGTTTCTACCGTGGCTCTGCTCGTCTTTTTTACAGGTACTTTTCATTCTGGTCGTCTAACAGGGCCTCATTTAGATGCCAGGTGAATGCAATTAACTTCCGCAGCAGAATACACAATGAGCCACTCTCTAAGCTCTGAGGACGCCGAGATCCACCGCTCTTTAAAACAGCGCCCACAGACGTCAGTGTGTTGAGTTCAGAAGCTCTCTGACGGGATCGGGACCACTCGGCTACAAACCTGCAACAAGTTCACACAACGAGACACAAAACAACCCGAACATGATGATGTCAAACCAAGCTGGTGATTGACTTTGAAGAGACTCCAAAAAGACGTCATTCAGAGCCGGATTAAGGGAAGTATTTTATGGTATGTGGAGACAACGAACAACTAATCATTTATCTCATTGGATTTTTCTTAATCCTCTTTATTCATTGTACTTTTCACAGCGTGGTGACCCTGTCTTCTTCACCTTCTTCCTCTTTATCAAGACTGCAGTGACTGCTGACGTGATTCAGGCACTTGAGTTCACATCAAGGAAGCTGAACCTAGTCCTCTCTGTCCTCTCTGTGGCTTTAATCACAGTAATGCAGCTTATAGAGTCTTAATGGATTCACTGCAGGGGTCTGCTGTTGCTCTGTGAATGACAATACCTCGGCTGCTTTACAAGCAGGAGTCCTGACAGTCAGGTAGCAGCTGAGGATGCAGCCATGAATTCAGAGCAGGCAGCTCGGTGAGGCGGCTCCTTGATCTGCTGGATCGTAATCTAGCGGAGGGTAATAATGTCAAACTGAGCGACGAGCTACCGTACATCAACATGAGTCAATCGAGCGTCAATAACCAAATTTCTTCCGGTTGAGTTTGAGCCTGTTAGCGGAGGGGTCAAGCAGGCCTCTCAGCGAAGAGTCGGGCCGCCTCCTGTTTCTCTCCTCGGCTGCTATGGGGCCGTTCTCCTGGTTTAAAGCTCCACTGTGTAACATTTAGGAGGATCTAGATTACAGAGGGGATGCACCTTCCCAGTATTTTGTTTGTGGTAAACCAAAGTATTTGAAACTCTGCACCGACATCATTCAAACGTCACACTGGAGGAACAAGAGGAGATTTCTGACTGACTTTAAAATCTGCTGCACTCTCATCTGTAACTGACTGAAGAAGTAATCAAAATGAAATTTTGATTTGAAGTCAATCTGAATCTCACTTTTTGTGCAAGCAGATATAAACTGCAATGAGTCTGCAGCTATTTGGGTGTTTAAATGGGCGTTTGTGGGCGTTAACAGGACTACTGACTGAAGGATGTCTATCCTACACATTTTGATACAAATCAAGTTTGAACTTTTTTAAATTATCAATTTATGTCCCTCAGGAGTACTCTTCAATTCTAATACAACTGATGCTAGCATAAGCTATGCTAACCTTGTTAGCAGACGCCATTGTTGTTTTAGTCACTCCTCACACACATTTAACCACACCCACGTTTGGAGATAGACCTTTTGTTTAACGAGAAACAGCCGTAATATCGCCATCGCCCACCACCAGACCCCATACACAAAATGACAATGTCACCTTGCATATCATCGTCACTCGCTAGTCCTCACAAGGTTAGCATTCGCTACTTGTTTCTGCTGAAAATACATGGCCAAATCAGTTTTTGCAGGTTTAAGTTTGTATTTGTGTAAGAAGAGTTTCTTACCGTAGGCGGAGTCGGCTGCAGACTCCTGGTTCCGTGTGGTCGCCGACACGTCGGCTGCAGAAAAAAACACAAACACAGTGAGATTCTGCAGCACAAAAATACATTTAAAATTCTCATCACGTCATTTATTGTCCCGTTTATTGCTGTAGTTTTACAATCCACTGACTTTTACACTGTTTACACCTCATATTATAACTGTTATCATTAGCATTGTGGCAGTAAAATGCCGGGTTTATCTTACCGTGGCAGCTGTCTGGGTGAAACGAGTGGTCGCCCTCGATGTCCTGTTCAAACCCCGCCCTGCAGAGAGACAGAAGAGGAGGAGAGAGAAGAGAAAGAAAGAGAGGAATTTAAAGAAACAAAAGAATAAAACATGGATTGAAGGACAGAGGCAGACACAGTGCCTCCTCCCATGTCTGTTGCCGTGGGTTACTGTTGCCCGGGCAGTTAATCAATGATGTGTATCCAGATAAAGAGTTAAGACAACGTTAATTAGATTATGTCACAGAGTTCATCTCCAGCTCATCATTTACTCTGAAGGCTGAAGACTTTCAAAGTAGAAAATGCCAACAAATTCACCTTTTTTTGGTCATCCAATTAGGGGTAAAGGAAGGTGACACTTGTCCAATCAGAAGACAGACAGTGACAGTCACACTGAGTTTCAGCAGCAGTAAAGTGAAGCGGTGTATATCTCACTGCAGCTCCAGTAAATGAAGCCATTTACTTTCCTAGCGGTGTCTCTGGCTCTCGGTTTGTGCCCCTGCTGTTTACTGTCTCTGCCTCTGTCACCACAGACGTTTCCATCTGACCTTCAAATCAATTTTAAAGGGCCAACAAATCAGGTTTTACTGCCACACGCTGCAAAATGACTGCAGTATGTGGTGTCAGAGATGAGTAGCAGGAGACTGATTCTGTCTGTGGTAGTTCACCTGCTGAAGGCGACAGAAATCATAGAATAATTAAAACCTCTCTGGGGGATGATTTTAAGTGACAGTGGACTTATTGACCTCAGTAATAGTACAATACCTTTGTTTCTTGTTGCAGAAAGCAGGTGTTATTTTTTATTTATTTTACATTTATTTACCTGTTAGGTCAATTAAGAAACAATTCTCATTTACAGCGATGAACTGGGCAAGAAGCAGCAACAGGAGGCAAGTCGATACAACAAGTAGAAAATACATACAGCTAACACAGAAAACAAAACAGTTTAACAGAGTTAAAACAGCACAATCCAGTCACTGGGAAGGCAGACTGAAAAGAGTGACAGGGAGGAGGTATGGACTTTAGGGGTGTCCAAGTAATTTGCTAGAACGCAAACTGTGGTTACTGATAGTAATGCTGAGTAAAGAACGGAGATATGGAGAGTGGAACTGGTACCAGTGGATCTGACGGTAGATGACGTAGTTTGTTGAAAAGAGATTTGGAGGCGAATCTGTAGATTAGGTTGCCACAACTGTCACTTTGACCAAGGTTAACGAGACTGTGGTCATTCACAGTAGATTAACAGCGATTGATAAAACGACAAAGTAGGATTGGAAATAGTCAGCCAGTATTCAATTCAATTCAATTCAATTCAATTTTATTTATTTGTATAGTGCCAATTCATAACAGAAGTTATCTCAGGACACTTTTCAAATGGAGCAGGTCTAGACCGAACTCTTTAACATTATTTACAGAGACCCAACAGTACCACCATGAGCAAGCACTTGACGACAAGGGCAAGGAAAAACTTCCTTTTAAGAGGCAGAAACCTAGGACAGACACTTCGGCTCTAGGTGGGTGGTCGTCTGCCTCGACCAGTTCGGGTGAGAGAGAGAGAGAGAGAGAGAGAGAGAGACAGACAGTTGCATAGCAACAACAGTAGCAACAACTACACCAATAGCAGTGACTGATGATGATGAACATGAAGAAGAAGTAGTAGTAGCCAATAGTTTTGGCGTCTCCATACAGATGCAGAATGTACCCTTTAGCATGTGCACTAGGGATGAACGAGTACACTGTTTTCTCTCTGATTATGCTCGTACTCGTAGAAAGTACATTATCTGTAACGGACACTCGTTTCAATGTAAGCTAACGTTCGTAAATCTGTCCACTAAATGTTGTTGTTTCTGGCACTGACAGGCTCAGATTGTGTGTCTGACAACATTATGAAAAAGATTCCCTACAGAGAAAGACCTAGTTTAACCAGAATATCACTATCGTTCTCCACCAGTCCACAGACAGAAAAGCTAATTTTATCGTAAACCTCATAACCTGTAACGAAACCAACAACTCACACATATGTCAATTTTAACCAATAAACAGTGTATTGTATGTAAATCTGGTAAACCAGCAGTTTTATCTCAGTCAGTGTTGGAAAGATGGACCAACATCACCATCCTCGGGGGGGAAAAAACCCCACAGGCAAAATGAAAAGTCTATCAACAATTATATTGAGTAGTTTTGGCAAAGTCCTTATTTTCTTCAAAAGGCAGACAGAGTTGTACATGACTCATTTTTCTATTCAAAGACAAAAACAAAATAGCAAACATTTGGCAAAGCTCCAGTGAAACAACTTACAGTCATAAACCATCAACAGGAAGCTGGAGTTGCAGCAAGGTTTCTGGAGGTGGACAGATATTTTCTCAGAAACATTTCAAAGAATGAAATGGTACTTTGTTTTTCAAACTGCTGCGCTCTGAGACAAAACCATTCATCAGTCTGATCATAATCAGCCCACGTCCTTATTTATTTGGCACCACATGTTTCCAGCTCCGTTTATCACGTTCAGCCTGTATTGGCAAAAACATTTTCCACCTGAGTGACTCCCCTCACAGCCCAGCCTGGTTCATGGGGTCTTGGTAGCAACAGTTTGAAGTACAAAACCAGGTCCATAAAGAAACGGTTTTCCCAGTTTGCTGTGGAAGAACACAACCGTAAATGGAAAATGGCTGCATCCTCTTATAGAATTGGAGGGTGTTATAGCCGCACAATAATGTCAGCAATAATGTCAGTTGTCCTTGTAGTGTCTTTTTTTCTTTTTTTTCTACATTCATAGATAACAGCTGTCTTCTCTCAAATGTCTCTCTACATATATTAATGCAGACCACATACTCCAATAAAAGATAAATGAATCATGCAACAGAAGAAGAGCTGCAGAACATTTAATACTCTCTACATGTTTGGATTTATTATGAAACCATTGTGCTTTCCTCTCCTCACTCACTCTATATTTACCTCTCTCCACCTCACTTATTTGCTAACTCCTCCACCCCCTCAGTCACTCAATATTTATCTCCCTTATCACTCATTCTCTCTCTCCATCACCATCTACCCTCCGTCTCTTGAGCTGCATTTCCACCAACGTGGGCTGAGCTGTAAGTGAGGGGAGAGAAAGAGAACGGGAGGAGGTCGTTGCGATGGCGAGTCGCTATAAATCCCGAACCCTCTCGGGCACCTAAACGCCTCGTTCATCTAGCGGGGAGCGACTCGGAGGTGGGGATGGAAATAGACTCAGTCAGTTATAAAATACAGTCAGGTTATCAGACGCTGTTGTTGCTGAATTGTATTTTCATGTTCTCGACGTTGAAGCTCTACAGTGGAGGCGTTAACAGGTTTCAGATGCTGTGAAATGTAATTACGATGTATAAATGGCTGCAGAAACTTTCAGTTAAATGAGAGAAGATTTGCAGGTTCTGTGCATTCATCTCTTCGGCTGTGAAGGGGCCTTGAAACTTTCTCTGACAGACTAGAGACTTTCTTTCAATTTGAAAATATCTAACATCAGCTCAGTATATAGAGCAGTATACAACAGACGCAGTGCTGACAATTATGCCAGTACTTTAGGTTTAAAATACAACACGCTATTATCTTGAAATGACAATGAATTGAATTGCCCCAAAATACTTGAATAACTCAGTTTGGACACTAAAATAGGGTTCAGTTCTTTTGGCCTAAAAACCTTTAGGCACTTGTCTTGAAAGATTTATCAAATGACTTAAGACTTGACTTAAGACTTTACTTGGACTTGTCTAGAATAACTTCAGACTTGCCCCAAAGGACCTGAAACTTAATGTGTCTTGACTTGAAAATTGACTTGAGACTTATATCACTTCATACTACGTATATATAGATTAGTATTACACAACCATGTCACGGTGTCACTGTTGCATACTGTATATCAAGATTCAAGCAGCAACATAAGTTATTTACCTTCAATAAATAGCCTGTTAATTTAAAAGGGTGTGCGGGTGTGTGAGTGCCTGAAAGCGTCACGTTACTGACGAGGAGCTCTAAAGGTTGTGTGATGTCGTCTGTGAATTCTGTTTGTTATTATGATTAATTATGTCTGTGTGTCACTGGCGCACTCAAGATGGACATTACAAAAAAAGATCAATATCAAGGCAATAAAACCAGAGATATTGATCTTTTTATTACATATTCTTCTTCCCTGTCAAAACATGGTGCCAACATTACCCACGATGCAACTCGACCGCCAACAGAGAGGTGTAAAGATATATTAAGTGAGCTTTAGAGGTGCTGGTAAGTGGATTTTGTTACCTTTGGACAGAGCAAGGCTAGCTGTTCCCCATGTTTCCAGTTTTTATGCAAAGCTAAGCTAACCAGCTGCTGACACCAGCTACATATTTACATATCATAGAGAAGACAGTGGGTTTTTGGTTAGCTTTTACGTGTCTTAAAGAAGGCAGTTGCTAACAAGTGTTCTTCAAATGAGACTACAGAGGTTGTCTGTAACAACACAGAGGCTTCTCTACTTACTGGTCCGACTTTACAGTCTCGCTGTGTTCATACGTTATAAGTGAGACTGTGGTAGTCTAACGTTAGCTTTTTACTTCTGGCAATTGCATTTATGCTTCATAAATCATAAAAGTGGTGTTCATTTGTGAAGATTATCTTGCTGAACAAAACGTATAAGAATCATAAACCTTTGTTCACCAAATAGTTTATTTTCTGCAATAATCCAAAATCCAACAGAAAAATTATCTTTTTGTCAAAAGAACCATGGAAGAAGATTGTCGTGTTGTTCATCTTCTTAGACAAATGAGATCCATTGCCACACTATTGAACTTCATGATTACTTTCTGAGCAAAGTGGCAGCACTAGCACTGACGTCATCGTAACTCGTTTAATAAAATTCACCAACAGTCTTTTCTAAAATCAATTACCCCACACTAGCTGTGATGTCTAACTCACAAAGGTCTGTGGGCTTGTGGGAAATAGTGTTTGCTTAAGACAACTAAAAGAACTATTGAATAAACATCAATATTAGATCATCAAAGCAATCGATCTGACAAACAGAC